CCCCCCCCCCCACGTTCTCCAGAGGCACCAACTGGGCTTCCGGGGCAGGTTTTCAAAGCCTCCCCACCCCCATCCCTCGCCCAAGGCCATCGCAGCCCACCTGGGAGCCCCGCACCCCAGCAATCAAGTCCAAAGTGGAGCTTAGAAATGGCCTCTTCCAAGAAGGGCTGCCGTGGGCCACGGGCGTGGACCAGGCGCCCCGCTGGCCGGGTCCCACAGCGTTCCTGTGATGCGGGGCTCCTGCTCCCTCCTTATTTGTTTGTCGGCGTCTCTGCTGTAAGTTTCCAGGAACAGCCGAGCTTGGGTTCTGGCTTTGTCCCAACGCGGGCGCTGACCTTCTGTGCTGCTTCCTGTGGGCTGCACTGGGCCCCGCACGGCGGGCCGAACACTGTGAAGGGACGGGACACTTGCGGGGCTGGGGGCTTTGAGTTTTAAATTGTTTTTTAATTGTTACCTTTGTGCCGGAAGGCGGCTCTGGCGGTAGCGGCCCGGTGTGCATGGGACAGGCGGAAAGCCTGTCAGTCGCGCGCACGCGCGAGCCCCTGGGTGTAGCCGCTGTGTCCGCCCGCTGAGCGGAGGCTCTTCTTAAGCTGACCCTCTGCTTGACCGAGGACCCGGCTCTGAGGAGCAGGTAAAACGGCTGCCACCCCAAGCACCCAGCACCCCAAGTCCCACCCGGGGGCAAGGAGGCCACTCCAGCGGGGGCCTGGCCAGCTGCAGACGCCCCACTGCCTGCTTTCCTGGTCACATCCCCCCGAAAGACTGGATTCCCTGAGGACAAGCACTGGGAGGGAGAGGTTTCCAAAGCAGCCTCCCCCGATCAGAACTCTCAGGACCAAAGGAGGACTTAGGGAGCAAATGTGTCACCAGACCACACGCTCGGCACATGCTCACAGCCACCATGTGACGGTTCCTGATCTGTCTGCTGGGGGCCGGCGCCGAGCCCCCAACACACCCCATTTTGTAGCCCCCCCCCCACCCGGCGCGCGCACACACACACATTTTCTGTTTGGCAATGGGTTTTTCTACAATTTTACACGGTAGAGCTGACGGGCGCCCGTGGCGTGACCTGTGTGTATGCTGAATAAAACCGTACTGTCCCACAGCCTGTGTGTCCTCGCTGCCCGCCCACCCGGGGTGAGGGCACGCACGGGGGGGCCCCCAGTGGTAGGCTGTGTGGATGGTGGGAGGGGAGCAGGGTCAGGAAGAAGTTGGTAAGACGACTGGTGAAGAGCCCTTCACCACCACTCTGACCTGGGAGTGCCTATTGGGGCGTGCGGGTGAGCACCCCGGTGCTGCCCCGACCCTGGGACTTCCAACCAGGACTTCTACAGCAGGTGTCTCTCGGAGCCCTGGGTGCAGCCACCCCTGGTCCCTGTGGGGACAAACAGAGACGATAATGGCTTGGGCCCAGGGCTGGGGAGGGAGGGGTCAGAGGAGGCATGGAGGGCGGGGGGGTTATGTTGGTGGGTGATGGAGTCCCTGGAGGCTTGCAGACCCAACTGTGCCTCTGGGCTGGACATGGCATTTTCACGGAAACATCTGTGAAACACACAAGAAAACATCTACCCCGACAGCCGGGCCTCGTCTCGCCCCCAGACGTGCTGTGGGCTGGGCTGTACTCTGAGCAGAGGGTTGCTGGTGGTTTATAACCCCAGCGCCTGTGGGGAGGCTGGGTCTGCAGGGAGAGGCCTCTCTGAGCGGTGCGTGGCAAGTGCTCACAGGAAGAGCCCAGGAGGCGGGACAGGTCCGTAGGATGGCCTGGGCTCGGGTGGACAGGTCCGTAGGATGGCCTGGGCTTGGGTGGACAGAGCGGGTAAGCCCTGGGAGCAGGTTTCAGCTGAGTGGCAGACGGGTGGAGGGCAGGGGGCTGGGGACGAGGAGGGGGAAGGGGCAGCAGGCATGTCCAGGTCCCTCAGGGGCCAGTCCTCCATGTGATGGCCTACTGAAAAGGTGGTGAAATTGGCAGAGGTCACCGTTGAGTCCCCAAGGCCAGCCTGGCCCTGCAGCCCAACCTGTGACCACTGTGCCGCCAGTTGCCAACAGATGATGTAACGACCACAGGCCCCACTGTGTAGGCTCTGACCACAGCGACCCTGTGCACTACAGAAGACACGACCCTGTGCACTACAGAAGACACGCTGCCCGCTGCTGCAGCCATCTCAGAATGAGTCCTCCAGTCGGGCCAGTGCTGCAGCCACACTTCAGTTCATCTGGTGGAGGGCCCGCCTCTGTTTTCTGTCCCTCCATCTAAATATTGGGCTGTGATCTGCAGGGTCTACATTTCAAAACCATCAGCCGGCCGCTCTTTTGGAGAAAGACAGGGTTTTCTCCTCCCATAACCTGGTAGTCTCAGAAACTCATCAGACCCCTTCTACCCTTTCGTAAAGGGTCACTATGAGTTGGTATCTACTTTGCCATGTTTTCCACGTTACCAAGCACAATGCCCTTCTCCAGGGACTGCTCTCTTCTGACAGCACGTCCAAAGTCCGTGAGACAGTCTCACCATCCTGGCCTCTAAGGAGCGCTCTGCAGGCGTTAGAATCAGGAAAGGTGGGCATCAGAGTTGTGTCCTTACTCGATGTGTACACTGAGCAGGTCATCAGAGAAGCTGGATTCTATGAGGAAGAGTGTGGCATCGGGATCAGAGGAAGCTCGTGAACAACCTGCGGTATGCAGATGAGTGGGACTGAAGGTGAGGAGACTTGGCGCCCTCGCTGGTGAAGATCAAGAATCACAGCCTTCAGTGTGGGTCCCAACTCAATGTCAAGAAGACCCAAATCCTCACAACTGGACCAACAGCTACCAGTATGATCGATGGAGAAGAGATTGAAGCTGTCAAAGATTTGTCTCGCTTAGATCCACAATCAGTGCTCATGGGAGCAGCCATCAGGAGACCAAAGGACACGCGGCATTCGGTCATCTGCGGCACAAGACCCCGTTAGGGAGTGGAAAAGCCCGGGTGTGACCTTGAGGACTAAGGTGTGCCTGACCCACGCCACGCTATCGCCGTTGCATCCTGTGCCCTGAGTGCGGGCGTCTGCAGAGGAAGGGGTGTAGCTGAGCGGCGGGCAGCGCTGGAGGAGAACACGGACGGTACCCTGGGTGGCCCTCAGAGGTCAGGATGGTGAGCGTGCGCGTGCTCTGCTCCTGCCACACTCTTCTCGCTGTCCCGCTTCACAGGTCAAGTCTGCTGAGGTACAGCCCCGACACACACCTTTCCCGATTTTAGTCCTGCAGCATTCCCTTGTTCTGTTCACGGACACAAGGACGTGTTCTGGAAAACCCGGGCTTCTCGAGGTTACCCATGGTTTGTTACGGTCTACAGTCGAATGCCTTGGCATCATCAATAAACAAGCAAACATCTTCTGGGTACCTCTGCTTTCAGCCAAGCTCCATCTGACAGCAATGAGATCCCTTGTTCCAGGCCTCTTCTGAATCCGGCCTGGAGCTCGGGCAGCTCCCTGCCCACGTACTCGGGCAACCATTGTTGGATGATCTTCAGCAAATTGTGACATCAATCACTCTTCTAAGGCCTGAGCCTTCTGCTGGGTCACCTTTCTCTGGAATGGGCACAGATAAGGCTCTCTGCCAGTCTTGGCCAGGCAGTGCCTTCCAGATTTCCTGGCACGCAGTAAGTGGCTTCAGTGCTGCTTCAGCGGCTGAAACATGAGTTGGTGTCTGTCAGCGGACACCACCAGTGTTTACCTGAGCCGACAGGCTCCTGTTTCTCCCTCAGAGCAGACGAGGGGTTTGAACTGCTGAACTTTCTATGCAGCCAAGAGCTCCTTAAAACAAAAACACAATCATGCTGATCCATCAAAGCCCTGGGGGCCAGGGTGGAACGCCCCATGGCTTTCTGAGACCGTAACTCTGACCGGTCAGTGATTTCAAACCACTGACCTGTCATCAGCAGCTCACCTTGTCACCCCCACACCACCAGGGCTCCTCAGGGCTCCAGGGCCTAGTGACCACATCTAGGGAGTGGGAGACGGGCTGGCTCCCGTTGACCTCACCCCTGTCAAGGGCACCTTTGGGGGTAGACCGTGTCCCTGTGTCCAGGCTCACTCCCAACTGATGGTCATCTTTCTCAGAGTGGCCTCGTCTGGCCCGTTTGGAACCACTGCACAGGGAGGTGGAGCCTGGCAGCAGGGCCCCATGCTGTGGGCTGTCTCAGCTGGGTGGAGTGGGGGTGGGGGGCTGGGCACCACAGATTCATCCCACTGAGCCTCAAAGCAAGAGCGACCCCGGGGGACACAGCGACCCCAGGGGACAGTGTGGAACTGCCCCATGGGGTTCCGAGAGATGGGAACTATGAGAGCAGAAGCCCCGTCTTCTCCCGCAGAGCAGCGGGTAGGTTTGGACCTCGGACCCGGCAGTTCGAAGCCCCAAGTGTCAGTGTAGTGGGGAGCAGAGGGAGACCTTCCAGGAGATGGGGCGGCCCCGCAGAAGCCCCATGGGCTCCCAGGGAGCCAAGACTGAGGCTGGCTCGGTGTTCCCTCAGCTGTGCCCCGAGGTAGAGCACGGACAGGGATGGTGGCAATAAGGCAGAAGCATCCCAGGCCCATTTAGTCTTTGTTAAAAGCATCACAAAGGATTTATTGATTTTAAAAAGGAAACATAAGAAAGACTGCACCACAACTTGTTATGTGCACAGACTCCACGGGTGTGCGCAGCCTGTCCCCCGGACACCATCCCATGGGAACCCCCCCCCCGCCCCCGGACACCCCACAAGGGCTTCCAGCAGACGAGGTCAGTCCCAGGCGTCTCTGTAGCTCCCTGTACATCACAGGTGCAGTCACCCACCTGCTTCCCTTCCTGTGGGTTGACGTAATGGGGGGCCATGACTAAGGGTATATCAGGAGCAGCCCTGCCCCAGGGGCTTGACAAGTGGTACCCACGTGATGTGCCAGAGTACACAGGTCACCGAGGGACCACACAGCTGAGAGGGGTCATCTCGAGGGCCCAAGACCTGACTTGGTCACCCACCCACAGGCCCTGGCAAGCTGTGGGTGCGGGGAGCGGTGTTTCTAGAAGATTCTGATGACTTCACACCTGGAGTGTGTTGGCTCAGGTGTCTGGTGTGCGTCTCATACGTAGGGGGGTTGGGTGCTGGGTGGGGGTGGTTCCTGCTAAGAGCTGTGGGCAGGTGGGAGGCAGGGGCCCTGGGGTTGGGCTTTTGGAAGACCATGAGCAGGTGAGTGGGGGCTACCGTGAGGGCCCCGTGGATCACAGCCACTCCCCAGGCCTGCCTATCTGGCTCTCCACTCCTGGCCCCTCGTCAGGGCCCACAGGATTTGAGGGGGCCTTGAGGGGGCTCACCAGGAGCACAGCGATACCCTGTGGCTGCGGGCACTGAACTGGGGGCTCACATGGACGGGTGCTCAGTGCCCGCCCTGCAGGGCCTTCCTGTCTACCTCAGAGAGGAAGGGGTGGGGCCACCTTAGGGGGGGGGCAGGAGGTGGGGACTCCCAGGACAAGTCTGAGGCTGCCTTCCTTGAAGGAGGGAGCAAGGCAGTCCTGTGGGGGGTGGGGAGTAGGAGAAGCAGGAGGGGGGTGAGGAGCAGAGTCAAGGCAGGGAGGAGGGTGCATCCCTTTGCAAGGTGTGGGGTCCCTGGCTCCCAACAACGGTAGGCATCTGGGGGCCCATTTCCAGCATGGAGGGGGGCAAGCAGAGAGGTGTCCTGTTTCACAGGCGTGCCTCAGTTTCCCCATTTTCAAGTGGAGGCATGGTCTCTGGGTCTCTCCTGGCTACTCAGAAGAGCAGGACGCGGGGTGCCTCTTGAGCCTCCTGCCCTGGCAGAGGAGCCTGGGAGGGCACAGTGGGGTGGGGGGAACAGCAGGAGGAGGAAGCCTGGGCACCATCCAAGGAGCTCCCAAGGATGAACTCGGGCAAGGCTACTGGGAGCTGTCCTGGCTCACACACCCCAGACAGGGCCCTCCCCGCCACCCAGTCACCCAGACTCACAGCGACCCCGGAGGGCAGGGTGGAACCGCCCCTGTGGGCTTCTGGGACTCTGAGCCCCCCAGGAGGAGAGAGCCTCCTCTTTCTCCCTCAGGGCAGCTGGTGGTTTCAAACTGACAGCCCAACTCGTATCCACGATGCCCCCAGAGAGGCCCTCTCTGGTGGACAGGTTAGATAGAGGGGGTGGGAGAAGTGGGGCGCAGCTGTCAGGAGGGGAGGCCTGGAGTCCCCTCTCCCACAGAGGGTCAGTGGGGTGGGGCAGGGCTGAGGGAGAGCGAGGATGGGGCACCCTAGCCACCTCTACAGTCTGGAGCAGCAAGTGGGAACTCAGGGCACCTAACACCCTAGACCCTGGAGGGGGGCACGCCCAGCCTCAGCCGAGCTTCGAAGGGGCAGCTGGGCGACCAGAGCGTCCGTGGTGTCCAGGTGTCTGGCGTCCAGTGCATCCAGGGGATCCGGTGTCTGAGCCACAGCTCGGAGCCCATCTGGTGAGTGGGCGGTGGGGCCGGACAGAGGAGTGTCTGTCAGCCCTCAAGGGTGGCCTCCCCAGGAGGGACACAGCAGTGAGGAGAGTCCGTGGCTGGGGGCATCAGCTGACCAGGTAGCTGTGCATCTCGCGGGAGTTGATGCTCAGGACCACGCCCGAATGATTGCCTGGGACAGAGGGAGCCCTGTGAGTGCTGCCGCCGCCGAGGCCGGAGCACGGAGGGGAGCCTCCCATGTGGTCTAACCACCTGCCGCCAAGCCATCTAAGGTAAGTGATGATAGAATCGGCCTGCGGGCTGTGACCCCATGCGATGACATGCATTTGCTGGCCTACTGTGTGCCCACATCAATAGCCCACTGGGCAGGTTAACTTGGGAGGGCGTTTTGAGGTTTTTACAGCGCACGTGTGTGTCCTCTGTGTGAAGTGTGGGACGAGGGCCCGGGCCGCCCGCTCTCACCCTGTCCAGTGCCCTGGGCATCCTCGCTGTGGCTCACGGGGCTGGTCATCTCCTGCTCCTTCTCGTTGTGCATCTGCGCGTACACAGTCCTGCCAGGGCGTTTCCTGCCGGGCATGGGGTGGGGTCAGGGCGAGCCCTCGGGCCCTGGGACCTGCTCTGGCGGTGAGGGTCCCCTCGGGGGCTGGGCTGGCGGGGAGGTGGGACCTCTCCGTACACTGTGAGCAGGACGTGGAGCCTGAGGGTGGAGAAGAGGTGACTGTGTCTGCACAGGCCGCCCTTGCCTTCTCCCCGGCACCGAGCGTCCCTCGCCAGTGGGGACATCCTGCCACCTGGAGCTCAGCGCACTTGGACCAGCCCCGAGAGGACCTGCACGTCCAGCCGTTCCCACAAGAGCAGGGGGGCTGTGGGTGAGGCCTGGCCCCCGACCCCTGTGAGGCTCTCCAGCCACAGGTCCAGAGAAGTGTCTGACTGGGCTCCCTCCTCCAGCCGCTCATGCTGAGACCGCACCCCACCCCACCCCACCAACTCCACAGCCCAACGCCACCGGCCCACAACTGGACATGACATGCAGCCACCCGTCTCTTGGTGTGTCTGAGCCCACGGTTGTGGGTGCTGTGTCGGGCAGTCACACAGGGCCTTCCCCATCTCCACAGTCATTCCCGCTACTAACCATGCAGTCTTTTTAGCAAGGACACCCTCCCGGCGCCCTGTCCAGGGCCGTGAACAGTGGTTTCGCCCTCCTGGCCTCTGAAGCGCATCCTGGCTGTCCCTTTCCAAAGCGGATGTGTTCCCGGTTTCCCTGTAGGATCTAGCTCTTCTCTCGCCCTCTCCCACCTCCTTCCTCCTGTTTTCCAGAGGAGGGCGGGGAGGCTCCAGGAGGAAAGGCCACTGCCGAGCTGCAGGGCCAGTGGGGCCCTTCTTCGACCGCTGCTCCCTCCACTCTTCGCTCTGCTCCTCTCTCCTCCTGGGACCCGGATGTGCGCCTGCTCTCCTCCCTTGTCCTGGGACCCCAGATGTGCGCCTGCTCCCCTCCCTTGTCCTGGGACCCCAGATGTGCGCCTGCTCCCCTCCCTTGTCCTGGGACCCCAGATGTGCGCCTGCTCTGCTCTCCCCTCCTGGGACCCCAGGTGAATGCCTGCTCCTCTCTCTCCTCCTGGGACCCCAGATGTGTGCCTGCTCCTCTCTCCTCCTGGGACCCCTTCAGGGTCTCTACTCAGCCCTCACCTCCGAAGGGAGTCTTCGGCTCTCCCCCTGCTGAGTCCCCCTGCTGTTTCCACGGAGCCCCACAGGCTCTCCAATCACTCAGCCCTGCCACTGCCCACCAAGACCCCTAGGCTCTCAGACTAGCTCAGTCCCCAGCCCCCTGCCCACCGAACCCCTCAGGTGTCCCCTCCAGCTGCCAGCGGTCCCCACTGGCATGCCGCCTTGGAGGGCACTGCTCCCAGTCCCCCAGAAGGGCACGGGGCACAGATCCATGACGGACTGAAAATGACATGAGACTTGGCGGGTCCACACCAGCACAGAGGGGAGGGGCCCCCCAAGCTCGATCAGCAGCAGGAGGAACAACAGGTCACGGCTGCAGACCCCCGTGCTCTTGGGCTCCCGGCCTCAATCCAGGGGGGCCGGCTCCCTGTCTGAGGCACCCCCTCAGCCATCAGTGGGGCAGGTGGCCACACCCACTTCACAGATGAGGAGCGGGCTCTGTCTGGAGGACAGCTGGAGCCCTCGCTAGCCTGTTGACCCCCACCCCACTTTCACCAGGGTCCCTGGGGGACCCCATCGGCACCCCTGGACCCAGAGGAGGACACTGAGGAGGCACAGAGCAGGGTCTACTGGTCCAGGTCAGGCAGCAAACCTACAGCCTTCACCTTGACCTTGGGAAGTGCCCCCCTCCCAGCCTGCCCCCAGTCTGGGGAATGGGATCTGGGCCTCGTAGAACT